CTGGCTCGTTCACGAACCAGACCACCCCCGCGACGCCGCGGAACAGCTCGCCACCAGGGAGGAGCAGGAGGAGGAGGAGGAGGAAGAAGAAGAAGAAGAAGACGGAGGAGGAAGGAGGAGGAAGGAGGAGGATTGAGAAGGAGGAGGAGGAGGAGGAGGAGGAAGATAAAACAGAAAGGGAGCGAGGGGATGGGGTTAGGGGAGAGGCGAACGTGCATCCATCGCAGGGCGAGAGAGGATCGAGCATCGCGGAGCGACGAGATCTGCACATGCCACGCCGCCCCTGGCCAAGGCCCATCCCTGGGCAGACGGGGCGGTGCGTGCGCTTCCCCAGGCGTTGGCCAGTGAAGCAGAGCGCACCGATGCCGAGCCCTGGATGGGCCCTGCCAGGGGCGGTGCTTCCATTCTGCAGCTCCTGCGGGGGGCGGTGGACGGGCCCTGCCAGGGGCGGTGGAGCAGTGTGGAGCGACAGCACGAGGCGGCTCTGGGGCTGAGCCCTGGATGGGCCCTGCCAGGGGCGGCGGGACATGTACAGCTCTCGCCGCCCCGAGGATCGAGCATCGAGGCGCCTGGGCAGCTCTGGCCCTCCCTGGGCCGCTGCGGGGGCCCCGGGCCGAGGCCTGCAGGGGGAAAGCCCCGCACCGTCGTTCATATAATTTAGACGAGCTTCACGGCTTGAGGGTGGTTCCTTTTCATAAGGTGGTTCTCGCCTTTTTCGCCGCGTACACTCGTTCATAAAATTCGGAAGAGTTCCACGGATTCCCATGATCAACGTATCAAAAATGGTGTTTGAAAAGGGTTCTGGATTATGCGGGCGCAAAAATTACGTTGATTCGCGGTGTTAAAGTCCGACAAATGAAGTGCTGGCACGATTCCGGATCGTCAAGACGCAGCTGTCAGGTTGATCCGTGGCGTCGACACCCCGAAAACAACGTTTCGGCATGCTTCAGGGTCTTCAAGGGCGTCTTCCACCGAGGCAGCTCCCTCAATGGAAATGAACCGTTGTAGGGGCCTATGAAGAGGGAGCTTGGAAGGAGGGTTAATTCCAACATCGTTGATGACTCTTTGGCTTACGATAGTCCTCCTCCTCCTCCTTCACCCCCTCCTTCTTCTCCTCCTCCTCTGATTATTATTCGGATAATTCTTATTCGTAGTATTAACCTTATTGATACGATTCTTCTGAACAGTCTCACTTTTCTTATTAGCATTAGTACTTATATTAGTATTAGTATGATTACTCAGTCCTATCATTCGGGTCAATAATAACAGTTCTCCTAATTGCAGTATTATTTTTATTCGTGTTCGGATTCGGATTATTCATGTTATTCGTTGTTGTAGTCTTGTTATCGTGTATTCCTCATCCCCACACACACACCACCCACTCCACCCCACCCCATGAACTTTCGGCGCCCCCTTCCTGGAACATTGCTGGACCATTCTCCCCCCCCTCCTCCTCCTCCTCCTCCTCCTCCTCCTTCTCCTCCTCCTCCTCCTCCTCCTCCCCCTCCTCCTCCTCCTCCTCCTCCTCCTCCTCCTCCTCCTCCTCCTTCTGGTTCCTCATACTATAATTGTTCGTACTCTTCATATTATCACTAGATTCTTCTGCATAGTATGTATTATTATTCATAAAATGTCATTGTTATTCGTATGTTTGTCAACGGTATCCTTATTATCCAACTTAGCATTGGCGTTATTCGTCATTTTCTCATTACTGGTATTATTGTTAGTATGAAAAGTATTCGTCTCACTCTTCTCACCATTGCTAGTAATACTACCATTCGTCTTATTCGCGTTCTTGTTTGTAGTAGTATTCGTCTTCTTCTTCCTCATATCATTTGTCTTCGTCATCTTATTAGCATTGTCGTTATTATAACTCCTCCCTTTCCTCTTCCTCCCCCCCCCCGCCGCATAAGCTGGGGACCCGGCGAGCGCGCCGGGACGGTCGGGGAACCCAAAGTGGTGGACTGCTGCCTGTATCTGCGGGATAGAAATAGAGCCTGGGGCTTGCCAGAGTAGGCGGACGGCGTCAGCGGGGGGTCCGGGGACGGCGCCCCCGCCAGCCGCGGGGCCCCCCCCCTGGGGCGGGCGGGGCGCGGGGTGGGAAAGGGTCGGATGCCCCCCGCTGTCAAGGTGCCCGCCCTGGCTCGGGGCCCCTGGCCATTTCTTACATGGCGTTCCTCCCGCCCCCTCGGGGCACCCCTGTCGCCCCCGGGGGCGCGCGCGCGGAGGCGGCACGGCCCCTCTGACGCGCGGCGCGTCGCCTGGCCAGCATACCAGGTATGCCAGCGTTGCCGAGCCAGTATTAAGCCTTGGCGCTTTGACAGAAAAACCGAGCCAGCATTACGCCTCGGCTGAGATCCCAGGCGGCTTAGTGGGACGCCTGTGACACCTCCACAATGCGTGCTGATCCTCCTCCTCCTCCTCCTCCTCCTCCTCCTCCTCCTGCTCCTGCTCCTCCTCCTCCTCCTCCCTCCTCCTCCCCTCCTCCTCCTCCTCCTCCTCCTGCTCCTCCTCCTCCTCCTCCTTCTCCTCCTCCTCATCACAGCATCATCCCCCTCATCCTCCTCCTCCTCCTCCTCCTCTCCTCCACTGCTCCTGCTCCTCCTCCTCCTCCTCAGAATCATCATCAGCATCATCATCATCATCATCATCATCATCATCATCATCATCATCATCATCATCATCATCATCATCATCATCATCATCATCATCATCATCATCATCATCCACCTCCTCCCCCTCATCATCCATCATCATCATCATCATCATCGTCATCATCATCATCATCATCATCATCATCATCATCATCATCATCATCATCCTCATCCTCATCCTCATCCTCATCCTCATCCTCATCCTCATCCTCATCCTCATCCTCCTCCTCATCCACCTCCTCCGCATCATCACCATCATCATTAGCAACATCACCATCAGCATCAGCAGCAGCACCATCGTCATCATCACCATCTTCAGCAGCACCATCATCGGCGTCAGCATCAGCATCATCAGCATTATCATCGTCGTCGTCATCTTCATCACCATCAGCATCACCATTATCATCCTCATCATCCTCATCATCATCATCATCATCATCATCATCCGCAACGCCATCAGCATCATAATCCTCATCATCATCACCATCATCAGCATCAGCAGCATCAGCATCAGCATCATCAGAAGCAGCAGCCGCAGCATGACTATCATCAGCATCATCATCAGCAGCAGCATCATTACCGTGATCATCATCATCATCAGCAGCATCATCAGCATCATCATCAGCAATCGCATCAGCACCATCAGCATCATCATCATCATCTCATCATCATCATCATCATCATCATCATCATCATCTTCATCAACATAATCAGCATCAGCATCATTAGAATCGTCATCGCCATCGTCAACATCATCATCAGCAGCATCAGCATCACCATAATAGTCATCAGCATCGTCAACACCAGCATCATTAGTACAATCATCATCAGCAGCATCGTCGTCATCATCATCAACATCATCACCGTGGTTGGCGGCATCCGCACGAGCATCAGCATCATCAGCATCAGCACCACCATCGTCAACATCATCATCCGCATAATCATCAGCATACTAATCGATAGCAGCGACATCATCATCATCATCAGCTTCATCATTATCATCAGCATCGTCGTCATCATCGTCATCCTCATCCCAATCGTCGTAACCAAAATCGTCATCACCATCAGCAGCAGCAGCATCATCATCGCCAGCATCATCAACCTGATCATCCTCATCGTCATCCGCATCAGCAGCAGCGGCATCATCGCCAGCACCATCATCAACAGCATCACCATCGTCAGCAGCAGCAGCAAGAACACCAGCAGTAGCAGCGTCAGCATCGCCATCTTCAGCATAATCAGCAGAATCATCAGCAGCGCCACCATCATCATCATCATCATCAGCAGCAGCATCAGCACCATTAGCATCTGCACCGTCTGCAGCATCATCATCACCACCACCATCATCCGCAAAATCCGCGGTACCACCATGATCAGCAGCAGTATGGTCACCATCAGCGGTAGCATCATCAGCATCATCACCAACAGCAGCATCACCATCGTCATCATCATCAGCATCAAAATTATCAGTACCCTAGTCATCTCCATCCTCCCCCCTTCTTCTCATCATCCTCTTCTTCCTCAGCATCATCATCATCCTCATCATCCTCATTAGCATCATAACCACCCGCATCAACAGCATCATCATCAACAAAGCCAGCAGCATCATCACAATCGTCAGCAAAATCGTCATCATAATCATCATCCGCAGCAGCAGCATCAACCACACCAGCAACAGTAGCAGCGTCAGCATCATCCTCATCATCATCGTCATCATCATCATCATCATCATCAGCCGCAGCAGCAGCAGCAGTTTCATCATAGTAAGCATCATCGTCATCATCATCATTCTTAACACCTTCATCATCATATTCCATATCATCGGCCTCATCATCAGCAGCACTGTTCCCAAAATAGGCTTGCCCTATAGGAGTCCTAGTTCAAACCCTACTGATTGGTCCGTTGCCCCCCTCCCCTAATTCATATGCCATCCCGTCCTAATTCCTATGGGTATGCTTATGCCTATGCCTATGCCTCCCCCTAGTTCCAATGCCTATGCCTATGTCTGCTTGCTTGCGTGTTTGCTTGCTTGCTTGTTTGCGCGCTTGCACGCTTGCACGCTTGCTTGCTTGCTTGCGTGCGTGCTTGCTTGCGCGCTTGTTTGCACGCTTGCTTGCTTGCTGACTTGCGGATTCCAAGCATGCTTGATGCCTCTGATTCCTTGATTTTAGTCGTCTAAGCTATTTGGAGTCAACGCTGACTGATATCAGTATCAGGTTCTTCACAGTCGACCTCGGCGAAAGTGAAGAGGAGAAGCCAGCAAAGAAAGAGGCATCGCTTGTGAACTTCAGCTTCACGACGTTCTGCGCCTTGTCTGCACCCTTCCTCGGAATCGTAGCAGTCGGCCGATCTAGCCACCTCCACGACCCAGCCCTCGCCTTCGCCCCATGTTCCCCCTCCTCATCCTCTGCCTCCCCCTCCTCCTCCACCTGCTCCTCTTCCTCCTCCTCCTCCTCCTCCTCCTCCTCCTCCTCCTCCCACCTTATTCTATCTCATACCCCTCACTCCTCCTACTCCGCGCCCCCTCTATCCCTCTCGCTATCCCTCTTCCCCATTTCTTAGTTTGCAACTTCACCTACCTACCCCTTGTCTTCTTTCTCCTCCTCCTCCTCCTCCTCCTCCTCCTCCGCCAGTTCCTCCTAGCTGTCCTCTTCTCGTGCTTATCCTCATCCTCGAATGTCATCATCATCAGGAGTCATCATCATCATCAGAGTCATCATCACCACCACCACCACTACCACGAATTACCACCACAAGCACCATCATCATAATCATCATCACCATCACCACCGCAATCATCACCGTCACCACTCGGTGCGCGGATGCGGTCGTACGAGGGAAGTGAGCAGGCACGTGCACGTCACCTATGGCTGCACACATCAGCAAAAGCGCACACTGCGCAGCCAACGCAGCCAGTCGGCCCAAAATGTGCAGGGCCGCACCCGAAACGAATGCCACGTAACTACCGCTTGGAGGTGCCTACGTAGAGTTAAAAGATGTGCCGTGAAAAACCAGCCAGCCGCGAGCTTCGATCTGTTGGTGCACGTGGCCCACGACGGGGCTGGTGGCATCGTGGCAGCACTGCCGACCGTACACCTGCCGAGCATACACACGGCGTGCTAGTCCAAGCGGGGGCTTGATGAAGCTGAGCGCCAGGAGTGAACCTCAGCCGCGTTGGGCGAAGAACTCGAATGTGGCGTCGGCGCTGTACATGTGCTGCCCTCCCGCGTGGGGCTCCTCGATGTGTGCCCCGAGGCCTGGACCAGGTGCCAGGGTCGAGTCATCACGAGACGCGTGAAGTTGCGCCTATACAGCCATCACTCCCGTTCGTATACGACGGCCCCGTCTCACTACTATCCCTCTCTGCCTCCTCCTCCTGCTCATCATCATCATCATCAGCATCATCATCATCATCATCATCATCATCATCATCAGCATCATCATCATCATCGTCGTCGTCGTCATCATCAGCAGCAGCATCGTCGTCGTCATCATCAGCAGCAGCATCAGCATCATCATCATCATCATCATCATCATCATCATCATCATCATCATAATTCGTCATCGTCATCGTCATCGTCATCAGCATCATTATTATCATCAGCAGCAGCATCATCAGCAGCAGCAACAGCATGATCAGCATCATCATGAGCATCAGCATCAGCATCATCAACATCAGCATCATCTTCATCAACATCGTCATCATCATCATCATCAGCAGCATCAGCATCATCATCTGCATCATCAGCATAATTATTCGTATCATCATGAGCATCAGCATCATCATCATCATCATGATCAACATCAGCATCATCATCAGCAGCATCATCAGCATCAGCAGAATCATCATCAGCCTCGGCCCACTCTGGACGCCTACGCCTGCGACTATGCCAGTACACCTACCTCAACGTTGCACCTTGCACTCGACAGATCTCAGGGAGGGCAGGCATGGGCAACACGCTGGGCGCACTTACTGCTTCTCACCCTGCTCCGCATCTTCCTCACTATCCTCCTCCTGCTCCTCCAACTCGCCCTCTGCCTCCACCTCCTACCCCCTTCTCGCCCTCCTCCTCATCCTCATGATCATCCTCCAACTCCTCCTCCTCCTCCTCCTCCTCTTCCTCCTCCTCCTCCTTCTTCTCCTCCTCCGCCTCCTCGTCATGGCCGCTCTCCTCTGCCTCTGTAACACTGCCACACATTTAACCCCCGCCGCCTGCCGGGGTCGAACCACTCACCGTCGAGGTGGAAGTCCTCCTCAGTCCGGTTGTCGACCTCGATGAGTACCTCGGGCGATGGCAGGTGGTCGGCTGCTGGAGGGAACACCGCCGAGCGCGGCGAGGAGGGCCGAGCGCCGCGAGGAGGGTAGATGGCTCGTTCGGTGCAGCTATGCCCTCTGCTGAGGCTCAGGCGAACAGGAAGGCCCGCGAGGTCCCGGGCGGGCTGCCCCGGCGACCGTCGTATCCTTTGCCTGTGCTGTCCTCTGCGCCTGCTGCGCACGAAGGCTACGCACCTGCAGACGCTCTGCGGCCGCGTAACTGATGGGCTCGCGTTTTGAAGGCCGTCCAAAAGGCGTCAGAGTATCGCGCTGTATCGGCGACGTCGAGGTGGAGAAAACCAGGCTCGGGATCGCACAGCACCGCCGATGCATCGGCGATGCGGCACGATGCTCCGACGCCCCATGTACTCCGGCCCCGCTTGGGCGGTCTGTCTCTGGAGCTCTCTGGACGTCCCCAGAGGCCTTCAGAGACCTCCTGCAAAAGTCCCCTAAGGTCCCTGGAGGCTTCCGAAGGCATCTGGATTCGCTAAGAGCTTAACGACATTTGCGGTTCCGAGACTCGCGCTGGATCTTCCATGAATCATCGAGGTTTCTCGATCGATCTCTAGATTTGCCTCGACTTATCTGGGTTGTCGTCTGATCCCGTCGACCTGCATCGATGTGTCTTGCCCTGTTCCCGCAAGTCTTTCAGAGAACAGTCGTCAAGCCTTTGTGGATGGAGGCCCCCAAAAAAATTTAGCTAGCCTGACGAAGGACCCGACCATGTGAAGCTAGGAGCACCACAAGACAGGTGGAAATTAAGGGAAGGACCTAGCATAAGGACGTTGCTGGTGGGGTCGCAGAGGTCGGCCGTAACGGGTTACATCTGGATGTAGCCCGTTACGGTTGATCTGCGCGTCTGTCGGCGCGGCCCCAAGGGGCAGCTTACGGCGGGGCCTTCGGTGAAGCTACCTATGGGGCCACGAAGCGTGTGAGAGATGCGCCCAAATGGGTGCTGTCACGCATGCGATTCCTGCCACTGGGGCCTTCGGCGGAGCTCCCCATGGGGCCACGAAGCGGGTGAGGGATACGCCAACATGAACGCAATCACACACACACACACACACACACACACACACACACGCGCGCGCGCGCGCAATTGCTGGCACTGTGGCCTTCGGTGGGGCCCCACATGTGGCCACGAAACGTGTCAGTGGTGCGCCGAAATCGAGTGAAGAAGGCATGCGAACGCAGCCACTGGGGCCTTAGGTGGAGTTTCCTATGGGGCCACGAAACATGTGAGGGGAGCGTCGAGATGGTGCGGATCAGGCATGCGAACGCAGCCGCTGGGGCCTCAGGTGGAGCTCGTAATGCGGCCCACGAAACGTGTGCGGAGTGCGCCGACAGTTTGCGGCAGGACATTTGGTGGAGCTCCTACAGGGACACGAAGCATGCGACTGGTGTGCCAAAATGGGCGCGGTCACGCATGCGACTCCTGCCAATGGGGCATCCGGTGGAGCTCCCAAGGGGGCCGCAAACTGTGTGAGGCGTGTGCCGAACTAGGCGCGGCCACGCATGCGATTCCCGCCACTGTGGCCTTCGGCGGAACTTCCTATGGGGCCACGAAGAGTGCCAGGGGTGTGCCGACTTGGGCACGGTCGCGCATGCGATTCCTGGCAATGGAGCCTTAGGTGGAGCTCCCTATACGGCCACGTGTGAGGGGGATGACGACATGGGCGCGGTCACGCATGCGAACGCAGCCACGGGGTCCTTAGGTGGAGCTCTCTATGGGGCCACGAAACGTGTGAGGGGTGTGCCGAAAAGGTATGAAGAAAGCAGGCGAGCGCAGCCACTGGGGCCTCAAGTGGGGCTCCCTGCGGGTTCACGAAACGTGTCAGGGGTGTGCCGAAATCGTGTGGACCAGGCATGCGAACGCAGCCACTGGGGCCATAGGTATAGCTCCCTATGGGGCCACAAAATGTGTGAGGGGTGCGCCAAAGTAGGATGGTGGCGGCATGCGAATATAGCAACTGGGGCGGCCTTCGGTAGAGCTCCCCATGGGGCCACGAAACGTGTGAGGGGTGCGCCAAAGTGGGGTGCGCCGAAATAGTGCGGTCCAGGCATGGGAACGCAGCCGCTGGGGCCTCAGGTGGAGCGCCCTACGGAGCCACGAAACGTGTGAGGCGTGTGCCGAATCAGAGTGTGACGGCCGTATGTGGACACGGTCAAATCGGGCCTTCGGTGGAGCTCCCGATGGGGGGAACGAAGCGCGTGAGGGGTGTGCCGAAACAGAAACATGCGAAGGCCAGAGGCAGGGACGGGAGGGAGAAGAGGGCAGAGGAGAGGAGACGTGGGGCGCTGTCTCGTCAACACGAGGACCCCACACAACTGGAAGCGAGTGGGATTTTTCACAACAGAAAACATCCCGAGGCTTTGACCCTGAATTCCCGAACCACCGATCCTCTAACCCCAAAGTTGGGTGGCGGCGGCATGCGGGCGGAACCACTGGGGTCTGAGGTGGAGCTCCCAGTAGGGCCACGAAGCGCGTGAGGGGTATGCCAAGGTGGGATGGTGGCGGCATTCGGGCGCAACCACGTGGGCCTTAGGTGGGACTCCCTATGGGGCCACGAAACATGCGAGGGGTGTGCCAAAATGGGGCGGCGGCGGCGGCAAGCGAGCGCGACCACTGGGGCCCTAGGAGGAGCTCACTATGGGGCCACGAAACGTATGGTGTGCGCCAAAGTGGGGTGGTGGCGGCATGCGAATGCAGCAACTGGAGCGGCCTTCGGTGGAGCTCCCCATAGGGCCACGAAACGTGCGAAGGGTGCGCCAAAGTGGGGTGCTGGCGGCATGCGAATGCAGCCACTGGGGCCTTAGGTGGAACTCCCTATGGGGCCACGAGACATGTGAGAGGGGCGTGAACCAAAGTGGGGTGGCCGCGGCATGCGAACGCAGCCACTGAGGAATTAGGTGGAGCTCCCTATCGGGCCACGAAACGTGTGAGGGGTGTGCCAAAGTGGGTGGCGGTGGCAAGCGAACACAGCCGCTGGGGCCTTCGGCGGAGCTCCATGGGGCCACGAAACGTGTGAGG